GGGTGACTGGGTGATAGACACTGGGGAGGGTATGTGCTCTGGTAAGCGCTGTGAATTGTGCAAGACTGTTGAATCTCAGATCTGTACCTCTGAAACAAATAATGCAATATATGTTAAGAAAAAAAAAAAAAAGAAGATAGCAGGAGGGGAAGAATGAAGGGGGGAAATCGGAGGGGGAGACGAGCCATGAGAGACGATGGACTCTGAAAAACAAACAGGGTTCTAGAGGGGAGGGGGGTGGGAGGATGGGTTGGCCTGGTGGTGGGTATTGAGGAGGGCACATTCTGCATGGAGCACTGGGTGTTATGCACAAACAATGAATCATGGAACACTTCATCTAGAATTAATGATGTAATGTATGGGGATTAACATAAGAATAAAAAAAAAAGAATTCTGGAGATGGCTTCAGTGCAAAAGGTGGTTTTATTAAAAGTACAGGGACAGGACCCATGGGCAGAAAGAGCTGCTGCTCTTGGGGTTGGTGGGAATAAAATAAGGGAAGTTCCCAAAGGCCTTTCCTATGCTAAAGACTCACAGGATCTTGGAGGAGTGTCCACTGCCGATCCCAAGTATTTGTCAATGGGCTGCAGGTTGTAAGCACATTTCATTTTGTCTACATTTCCTTCTGCCCGTTTCCCACATCAATGGGGCTGATCTCCCGGCCCGCCCGGTGCCAGCCACCTTGGCATGCATCATGGCGGTGCGGGGGATTGGCATCGGTCAAAACAAGGTCATGTCCTTAGGGAGGAGCCCGCCATCTTTGAGTAAATCCTCAAAGCCAAGGCCGCTTTGTTGTTCTCCTAGTGTATGACTGTGTGATTCTCTTACCTGCTTGAAACTGGGGTCGATCAGAAGCACTAGCTAGTACTACTAAAACCAGCCATTCCCAGGAAAGCGCCTGTCCGGCAGGCGGTTCTCCTCGGGCTTCCAGGTCCAGTGGCTTCGGCCACCCGCGGCGTTTCTGTGAAGCCCGCAAGCTGACATCGGTAAGTGAACCAGCAGGTGCGGCCAGGATGGGGCAGGGGGCGGTGGGGACAGGACAGGAGCAGAACGGGCCACCTCCCCGAGACAGTGAGGCACCGTAATGAGTAAATCTGCTCTCTTTTCCCCGTTCCTGGCACAGAACCTCAAAAACCCTGCAACTATCTGGAGAGGCGGAAATGTCTTTGTCATGCTGATGAGGCGATTTGTGCTGGGGGTCGGGGGTGTAGCCTCAGGAAAGGGCTGGTCACCAGGAAAAGCAAGCACTTGACGAAAGGCTTGCGACCTGGGGCCAAACCCAGCTCTGGGGCGGGGAGGGGGAGGAAGGTGCTGGAGATGGCCTCAGTCAGTCACACGGGGCACTGTAATGAAATCCCGACAAGACTCGGGGTGGCTCGGCTCCGGGGAGCTTTCGGATGGGGAACACAGTGTTGTGCTGGGAGGCGGATGCACCCTGACTCCACGGAGAAAGGGCACAGAGCTCTGCACTCTGACCCTCCCGGCCCCTGCCTGTGCATGCCTTCCACGTGGCCGGTCCTCCATTGTATCCTTTATAATAGGAACTGACTGTAAAGACAGTACCCTCAGTGAGTTCGGTGCAAGATGAGGGGTCACTGAGCCCCGATTTGCAGCCAGCCCAGAAGAAGTAAGAGTGGCCTGAGAAATGTGGCTGACACCCAGAGTGGGGACCGTCTGGTGCAGGATTCTGCCCTTGAACCTGTGGGATCTGATGTTAATCCCCAGTTAGTTAGAGTCAGGATAGAACTGAATTGTTGGATGCTTACTCGGGGTCAAAGAAGTGGCATTAGGACACCGAGTGGCAGGCGGTCCTGGGCACCTGGACAAGCTGGTTTCCAAGCCTCCATGTCAGCTTCTAGAGGGAAGAAACGATGGGGTCCGGGCTTATATGGCACACATCAAAGTCCCATTTTGTTAACAGACATGGAGCTGATGACATAAACGGATGAACACATTGAGGTCCCTGCCTTTGGTGAGAAGCTGTGGAGAACATTTTGAGAAGATGCACCATTATCTACGTGCCCTCTTCTTCCCAGCTACAACGTGGGTCTGTGCTCACCTTCGCTGAGCCCCAAACCTGCCTATCTGCCGAACAGCTCTTCACAGGACAGGGCAGCTACACGGGGACTGGAGATTGCCTCAGGATGCTGCCCCCCAAGCCCTGCACCCCTGTCCGGGTGGCTGTATTTGCTGGAACACCTGGTCTGCTTCTATAAATTTGGTGAGTGCACATGCAGACTTTGGGCTTCTTGAGCGCAGGCTAAAGGAAGCTGGTAGTGAGGGTTGCAGATCTTGACCACAGAACATCATCCTAACAGCAGCCAAGCCATTTTAGAACATGAGTAGCCAAAAGGGACACAATATAAATATGGTCCAGCCACCCTCCGTCCCCATCTCCCGTCGCTACCCTGTCCACCCCAGAACTAGAGGACTCAGTGTTGGCTGAAGATGCAAAGTGCTGCTATGGTTTCCACCTGAGTTTATACACTTTCCCACTGCAGATCGTCTTCTGGGGAAACACCCGGGGAAAACACAACTATCCAGAAATCTCACTGAATTTGCCTTCACAGTGGGCTGGAGGCAGGGCCGTCTCTCCTTAGAGCCACACTTTCAGGAGCGCTCCACCTTACTCTGGGTGGGATCAGTTTGTCCCAGCTACAAGCCGTCTTTTCTGACCTGCTATGGGTTCGAGCAGGCGTCCCAGTCCCTCCATATCTTGACAAGATGGAGCAAGACCTGTATACATACCTCGTTCTTTTTTCAAGCAGAACACGAAAAACAAGGGCAATCCCTTGCCAATCGCTTGTGTGGTGAGACAGCCTGAGGAAGTCGCCCGCCTGCCTGTGAGCCCCTCGGCTGTAGCGAAAACGCTGTGGGTAAGCCCCTGGCTCGTCACACTTGTGTGTTCCCGAGGAATCCGCTTTCTCATCTCCTCTGCAGAGAGTCCTGCCTCTTATGTGGAATTTCTGCTGCCTCAATGCACTGTGGTGATTATACGCACATTAAACATGGTGCCCTGGTTGTAGGCTACGGTTTCCAGAGAGCACTGAGTTCCCAGTGGGGGTTGGATGGTCAGCGCAGGTGTGGATGGACCCCAGGGCTCTGCCCTTGATGAACTCGTGATCTCTAATAACCAACGTCTGGAGGCTGGGTGCCCTGCGAGTGGGGTGGGGCAGCAGAAGGCCCGATCCTCCAGTCTCCCCCCACTGCTCCTTTCCTGCCCAGCCTGCCTTCTTCTTTTTTTTTTTTTTTTAAAGATTTTATTTATTTATTTGAGAGAGAGAGAATGAGAGAGAGCACATGAGAGGGGGGAGGGTCAGAGGCAGAAGCAGGCTCCCCACTGAGCAGGGAGCCCGATGCGGGACTCGATCCAGGGACTCCAGGATCATGACCTGAGCCGAAGGCAGTCGCTTAACCAACTGAGCCACCCAGGCGCCCGCCCAGCCTGCCTTCTTGATCCCCCCTTCCTAACTTGTAGCCTCGGTGCATGGAGCCCTGGTGGGCACTGACCATCCCTTTATCTTTTTAAACATGTACTTATTTTAGAAAGAGCATGTGAGGACGGTGGGGGGCAGAGGGAGAGGGAGAATCCTCAAGCCAACTCCCCTCTGAGCGTGGAGCCCAACGGGGCTGGATCCCAGGACCCTGAGATCACGCCCTGAGCCGAAATCGAGTGGGCGGCTTAACCGGCTGAACCACCCAGGTGCCCCGAGTGTCCACTTTTTCGTTGCTAGTGAAAAATGTGCCGGGCCTAGTTGTTGGGATCGGAGGCCATCGATTCCCCTACACTACTCTGCAAGCAGAAGAGCTTGTGCCTGGTCCAAGTCCCTGCTTTTGGTGGAGGAGGGAAACCATCTCGGGGGAGAGCACCGTGTACCAATGCCCAAGTCTAGGGCAGGTGGGCGCTTGCACCTTCTCTTTCGTCTGTGTCAAGGTGTGACTTGGGAATGGCAAGAGACCCCCCGGCCCTGGTGTCCTCTCTGTTTGGCCCAGGTGGGGCAAGAGTTCAGGAGACGAGGATACACCAAACCCTGGCCGGGCCTGGGTCAAGTGGCTATGGCGTTGATGTGGTTTTGGAATACAGGTGGGGTTCGGTGGGGTGGAGTCCGGAGCCGACGACCAAGAAGGAGTTCTTGAGGTGTCTTTGGTGCAAAATGGTGGTTTAGTAAAGCGCAGGGACGGGGCCCGTGGGCGGAAGGAGCTGCTGCCCCGGGGTGGTGAGGGGTGGCTCATTATGTACTATGGGGCTGGGGAGGTGAGGAAAAGGGGAGGTTTCCGAAAGCACTTTCACGTATTAAAGAAGACACACAGGAGGATATCGGAGGCTTTGTTGTTTGTCAAGTTAAGGTTGTTTTCCCTTCTAGGAAGCCATTAAAGTGGGATCGCTGAGAGCTTCCAGGAGGAGTGTCACATTCCCCCAGTCACACGCCCTTATCAATGGGCCGTAGGTTTAAAAGAGATTTAATTTTATGTACATTTCCTTCTGCCTCAGCCTCCCTCAACTTTATCGAGGGGTGGGTGATGTTAGGGCTTCAGGGGACTGAGTTTCGGGTCTCCGGAGGTCAGGCTATTGATAAGAAAGCTTCTTCCAGGTCAACCACGAGGACATTTGTAAGCTGCGGGAGGCTCGGGTCCTGTAGGGCTGTGATCTCTGTAAGTTAACCGTTTGTTCTTCCTTTAGGGCCCCCAAGCAATGTCACACATATCCCAAAGTGGGGGGGTTGTGGGGTGTCAGCTTCTGCTCGGTCCTCAGCGACCCTCCCGTTCCCTCATCACTGTGACCAGGTGCGTAAGCTCCGCCCGGTGTAGGGAACCCTCTCTCTTCCAGACAGGGTCAGTCAGGCGACTGAAGCTGAGACCCAAGTTTCCCAAGGCGATGTCTGATGTCCCGAAGGACCGTCTCCAGTACCCCTGCACCTCCAGCTCTCCAACCCAGTGACCACCTCTCCCAGGCTGTGCTTTTACTTTGGTTTTGAATACAATTAAGTCTAACACGAAGGCTACTTCAGTGAGTTTTTATTATGCACCTGTTAAGTTGGTGGGAACAATGCCAAGGGATGAGAGGAACAGGGAGGGCAGCTATTCCTCAGATGTGCGGTCTCTGAACCTCATGGCAAGGCGGACCCCTCACCTGCCGGCCCAGCCCCCACAGAGAGAGGGACGAGCCAAGGGGGCCAGCTCTCCTCTCCGGAGCTTTCCGCAGTGCAGGCAGCCTGGGCTTCTCACGCGTGGCACGCACCTGGGACCTGAACTTCATCGCCCAGGACGGTCTCCCGGGTCAACGTCAGCTCCCGGTTTCCCAGGCGCCCCAGTCAGCTCTGGGTCAGTGAATGCAAGGACGCTGCACATTATTTGATGGGCACCCGAAGAAATGCACAGCCTGTTACATTCCGTTTGTTTCTTACTTAGGACCTGACTTTACACATAAAATGCACGGTGAGCTGAACAATGCTCTTTTTAGGCAAGTTTCTGACGTGGGTGGGTGAATACACACTCAGCACCAACGGAACCTTTGGGCAAGAGCTCGGGTGGATGGGAGTCGGGCTTCTACTTGGAATTTCCACTCTTAGGCTTAAAAGATTTTGGGGGCTCCCTCTCCCCTTTCAAGAGGCAAACTATTTAGAAACAAAGAGCCCCAACAGTTTTCTGTTGAGGGTATGACCAAACGGCTTTATTGCATTTACTGTCCCCGGGTAGGTGGATGCATCTATGCAGTTACGGAGCTCGACGGCAGGACCTCGTAACGCTCTCACTGGGTTTGGGGGAGTGGTGTCTCGACGTGGCAGTGAAGTGTCACCCGATAAGGGGAACGGGCGGCTGAGGGGCCTGGGCATATGACCACACAGGACACCCAGCCTGGAAACAGGAGCTTGGGCCTGAATCCAGCCAGTCTGTACGGATTCTCCCATGACCTGGGAATGACAGCAGCCTTGTGGGACTGGCCGGTATTGTGGGTTTAACTGTGTCCAAGCCCACAACTTGTAGGTTTACGTCCTAACCCGGGTACGTCAGTGTGACCTATTTGGACATACAGCCATGGCAGATGTCATTAGTGAAGATGGTAACAGACAGGAGTCGGAAGGGTAGGTCTTACACATGGTTGATGTCGTGGGAGCAAGGGAGACGTGGAGACGGACACACACGACACCATGTGAAGATGAAGCACGGATGGGGTGATGCTTCCACAAGTCATGTTGTATCAATGCCTGCAACCGCCCACCAGAGCAGACACGGGACACAGACGCTCCCTCTCAAGGACCCAACCCTGCGGGCACCTCCACGTCTGACTCCCGCCTCCCGATCTCAGAGGACATGTAAGCCATCCCGTTTTTACAGCAACCCTAGCGAACAAATAGGACCGGCAGGCTGAGTCAATGCTCATGGAACGCCGTGTCCCCTGCCTACGTCGCCCGGACAACACTGGGGGCTGAGCTCCCCGTTCCCAGGCCCGGTGGGATGGGGACCACACTCCCCCCTCCGTGACCATTTGTCAAGGGCCTCCCAGGTTACAGACACATTTTGGGGAGGGCGTGCAACAGTGTAAAATGTGGGCTTTGCCTTCAATGATCTCACATTCCCTAATAACCAGACACCATGACAAATAAAATGGCAGGACCCTCTGCCTGTGCAGGGAGCGATCGGCCCCCACCGAGGCTCCTCGTGACACTGGATTGTTCCTATGGGCCAGATGGTGACTTCTGAGGACAGGACACGCTCGGGGTATTTGGCCCTGCCACCCACATGCCCCAGGGGGACACCTGCCCACAGCCTTCCCCCCAGCCCACCCCCACCCCCAAAGCTTCTTGGTGTCACACAGAAGTGCAGTTACTCCCAACCTCAGGATGGGGGAAGGGACGATGTGGAACAGGGCTTTATGGGTGTGTGTTTAGACTGGTTGGCAAGGGACACGGCCCTGGGGGGTCACCACGGTGGGGAGCATCCCAGTCCCTCCCTGCTTGGAAAGCAGTGCAGGGGGTTCTCGAAGACCTGGAAAGATGGAAGAGTCAAAGCTGGTGGAGACAAGCCCTCCCTGCTTTTTGGCACAGCAGAGACAGAACAGATGCTCAATCGGCCACTACCTCGTTTCTACCTGAGAGCAAAGGGCAGGAGGATTGTGACTCTGTCCTGGGGGAGGTGCATGGTGGGCGGGGGGTGGGACCAGTCAGTACCAAGGGTCTGGCCCTGCCCTGGGCGGGGAGGGAGGGAGGGATGCTGCCCTGCCTGGGGGTTGCACCCTGCCCGGGTAAGGGGGTGGGTGGGAGTGCGCACTGCTGGGGGGGCGGGGACGTGCGCCCTGCTCCGGGGGTGTGTGCCCTGCTCTGGGGACGAGGCGTACCCTGCTCCGAGGGGATGCGCCCTGCCCGGGGAACGGGGGGTGGCAGGGCACCCTGCTCCGGGGAGATGCGCCCTGTCCGGGGAAGGGGGTGGGTGGGAGTGCGCACTGCTGGGGGGGCGGGGACGTGTGCCCTGCTCTGGGGACAAGGCGCACCCTGCTCCGGGGAGATGCGCCCTGCCCGGGGAACGGGGGGTGGCAGTGCGCCCTGCTCCGAGGGGATGCGCCCTGCCCGGGGAACGGGGGGTGGCAGGGCGCCCTGCTCCGGGGAGATGCGCCCTGCCCGGGGAACGGGGGGTGGCAGGGCGCCCTGCTCCGGGGAGATGCGCCCTGCCCGGGGAACGGGGGGTGGCAGGGCGCCCTGCTCCGGGGCGGGGACGACATGCGCCCTGCTCCGGGGCGGACGCGCGCCGCCACCCCCACGGGCCTCCTCAGTAGGAGTTCAGAGCCTGCTTGGAGCGGCGCTTCATGTGCAGACGCTGGTGGCGGAGAAGGTCACAGTTCTGCGAGAAGCTCTTGACGCAGTAGCGGCACTGGAAGGGCCGCGCCTTGTCCTTGGCGTGCACGCTGCTGCGGTGGCGCGCCAGGTGGTCGGGCCGCTGGAAGGCCTTGTCGCACTCACAGCACTGGAAGCGGAGCTTGGCAGCGCCGTCGCCCGCGCCCGCGGGACCCCCGCCCGCGGGACCCCCGCCCGCGGCCCCCGCGCCCGGCTCGCGCTTCTGCAGCGGCGGCAGCCGGCCTGCGTGCAGGTGCGCGCGCCCGTGCGACAGCAGGTGGGAGTTGAGGCGGAAGCTCCTCCCGCACGCGCCGCAGCGGAACGGTTTCTGCGCCTCGTGGCTCTCCAGGTGCCCGTCCAGGTCCTCGCTGTCCCCGAACAGCTCCCCGCACACCGAGCACTCGTGCGGCCGCTCCTGCTCCCTGCGGCTGCGCAGGTGTCGGATGAAGTTGACCCTCCAGCGGAAGATCTTCCCGCAGTTCGGGCAAACGTAGGACTTGTTCGAGGACGACGTCTGCACCCCGCCCGCGGCCTCGGCGCCGCTCCGGCGGGAGGCGGGCAGGCTCCGCGGCTCCTCCGCGCAGTAGGGGCCGAGCTGGGAGTCCTCGTCCCCGGAGCTGGACAGGACGATCTCGATGGTCACCTCCTCATCCAGGCCGTTCTCTGGGGTCAGCACGTCAGCTCCGGCTGCGGGAAAGCCCCGGGGAGGGTCGGCCGTGCGGCGCCAGCCACAGCCCCGCACCTGCAGACCCGACTCGGCAAGGCTCGGCTTCGTCCTCTCCGCCCTCGCTCCGGGCCCCGCTCCTTGTTTTTCCTCTCTAGGCACCGAGACCCCACAATCTGACGACTTCGGGTCTCTCTGCGTCAAGTCCTGGCCACGCACCCATCAGGCAGCAGCGCCCTACCTAACCCCGCATCGGGCCCCTGAAAGACCCCAGAGAGAAAGGCCCCACACCCGAGAAAGGCAGGGCAGGCTCGGCGACCACAGGCTGAGCCTGAAGTCGCACAGCCCCATGTGCTCCAGGCACAACCCCGTGGCCTGTTACTTGCCAATTATACACCAAGCCAACCTGGGTGACACGCTCCGGGCTCAGGGCTGAAGAGGGAGCTCGCTGTGCTGACCTCGGGGCTGTCCGGCCACCCCCACCACCCAGGTCACCCGCGTTCCCCTCTGAGGCCCACCAGCGCGGCTGGGTAGTGGATCTGGACTGTACAACCTAGTCGGAAGCAGACTCCGTGAATCCCAAGTCTACGATGCTGGGGGGCATGTGGGGGCCAGTGGGGTGCCTGGCCTGAGGTCCCAGCCCACAGCCCTCACACAGCTCCCCCTTGGGTCGGTTTCCTCACTTCTGCGAAACGTGGGACTCGGGTCCAGAACAGGGACTAGTGGTGCCAGACCCCCAGAGACAGAAGCAGGAATAAGGTGGTTCCGGATGCAATCTCCAGAGGAAGGAGAGTTCTGTGAGGTTCGGGCGCCCGAGGGCAGGTGGAGCTGGATACGGAAGCAGGGCAGGAAGACCGGGAAGCCGCACAGAGCAGGAGACTGCAGGCAACGAGAGCCACGGGAACAGCTGCTCCCCAGAAGACAAGGGTTGGGGCCTCAGCACGATATGAGGCTGGGGGATGGGAGGAGATCTGAGTATCTGGAAAATTCCCAGTTTCACCCACATGGGAGAAAGCGACAAAGCGTGCCCTGGAGAGAACACACACGAGAGGCTGGAGAACCACCAGGTGAAGGGATCAGGGGTGTGAGGCCCGGATCCAGTCAAGCAGTGGAGATGAGGCGGGAAAGACCCTGGAGGACCCTCCTGCCGGACGGCCTGAACTCCCGGGGACTGCACGGGGCCCAACACTGGTTCTGAGACTCGTGTCTGAGCGGAAACACAGCTAGCCGGGGCTGAAGGGCAAGAGACGGATGAACCTTGGGGTGCAGGCCACCGGCATCTACACAACAGGCCAGCAGAGCTCCTCACCCTCGATGCCCAGGGCAGGCCGGCTGCAGAGGCCGTCCCGCCGGAGGCCGGACTCCCACCACACGCCAGGCCGACGGGGATGGAGCCCTGAGCCCACCGTTCCCTGCAAGCCGCATATTCTCATGGCTCATTGAATTCCAACCCTTGCTTGGGGGCCATCTGCCTTTCTTCTTCCCAGTTTCTCCCTTTTGAAGATTTTATTTATTTATTTGACAGAGAGCACGAGCAGGGGCAGAGGCAGAGGGAGAGGCAGACTCCCCGCGGAGCAGGGAGCCCCACGCGGGACTCGATCCCGGGACCCTGGGGTCACGACCTGAAGCCGAAGGCTTCACGGACTGAGCCCCCAGTTTCTCCCTTTTGGAACGAGGAGGTCTGTTCTATGCCTGTCCCACCACTGCATTTTGGGAGGCACATAACGTGATGTGTGGTCCTGCAGGTTCACAGGTGGAGAGGAACATGCCTGGGTGTCCCCTACGCCCACTCTACAGGATGTTTGGGTGAGATGCTGGATACAGGACGGAGGCTGGAACACACTGAGGGATGTGTGGAGAGGCTGAGTGTCTGCATGAAACTACGTGAAGAGGACAGGAGCTTTGGGGCACCTGAGGGTGGAATGCAACAAGCTGAGATGCATTCCCTGAAAAATTCGTATGTTGAAGTCCTAAGCCCGGTACCTCGAAGGCGACTGTATTTGGAGATTAGGCATTTCAAGGGGTAAAGAGGTTAAAATGAGGTCATCAGGGCAGGCCCTCCTCCAGCAGGTATCCTTCTAAGAAATCGGGGCACAGACAACTGGAGACGGGCCATGTGCAGACACGGGGAGACCTCTGTCCACAGGCCAAGAAGGGAGGCCTCAGGGGAAGGACACCAGGCCGCCCGCCTGCAGCCTACGCTTCGAGCCCCGAGATTTCTGAGAAAATCGGTGTCTGCTGCTTGTCATGCGTCCGTCTCTGGTGTTTGGGGAGCAGCCCTAGGAGACTAACATAACGCCTACAGGGCGACATGCCCTCCATCAGAGCTCGGTGCCGGGCACGGAGGAGTCACTCGCTGTGCGTGGGGGTGGGCAGGATTACAGGATTACTGGTCCAGGTGCTCTTACGTGAACTATTTAACCCTCAGGAGTGACTCCACTGGTGGCCAAGACCGTTCCCTCTGAGAGGCAATGCTGCCCAGGGCTTCAGGAGACGGAGCCGGAGCCCGAGCTTGGTGAGCTGCAGGTGGGAAACCAGCCCGCGGGGTGTGCTGGGGGCTCCTGCCTCGGGAAGGGCACCCGCGGCCTGCAAACGCAGCGCTCGCCGGATGGGGGGCGGAGTCACGGCGAGGGCGGGCAGCCAGACGTGACCATAAACAAATAAATAAAAACCCAGGCATCCTAAGAAATACATGCTTGTCCTGTTGGAACGGGGAGCCTTTCTTACAAAACATAAAACCTGAAAGGAGAGGATGAAAAAATCCACATTTTTAAAAGGTAGAAAGGCTTTCCTGGGTGGCTCAGTCGTTAAGCGTCTGCCTTCGGCTCAGGTCGTGATCCCAGGGTCCTGGGATCGAGCCCCACATCAGCTCCCTGCTCGGTGGGAAGCCTGCTTCTCCCTCTCCCTCTGCCTCTCCCCCTGCTTGTGTGTGCTCTCAAATAAATAAAATCTTTAAGAAAAAATAAAATGTAGGAAAAAAATGGGTTGACATACAAAGTTTAAAAGAAGTGGAGGAACTGCAAATACATAAGAGGCAACAGATCCAGGCCCATAACTGAGAATTTCGAGGAGATTCCCAGAGAGGGCAAGCTCGGTGAGGTGCAGGGACCAGCCCGGAAGCCCTAATGCGCGTGAGGGCCCCAGGCAGGGCGGCCTTTGGGGGGCAGCTGGGCCTAGTCGCAGTCCTGACGGTGGGACCCCTGTGCTGGCTGAGCACTCACAAGGCAAGGAGAGGCGGGACGGCACGCCCTGTCTCCGACAGAGGGAAGGCCACGCGCGCACGCGGGGAGAAGGCAGGCGTTGCAAGCCAGGGAGCGCCCTCACGGGCCGCGGAGCCCCTCCAGGACCGGGAGAGGGTCCTGCCGTCTTAGCAGGCCCCGCGGAGGTGTCGTCAGCCCAGGACGCACACACAGCGCCTGGCACAGACCTGGTGCTGCTGCAGGGCCTGGGGCCCCAGCAGAGCTCAGCCCGTGGGAGGGGACACAGGCCGCACCGGGCCGCAGAGAAAGCACGCTGAGCCGGAAGACAGGCCGTCTCGGTGCGGCCGTACGGCGACCGGGCTGGGAGCAGCCTGCATATGGCCCCCGCGGGCGGTGCAGCCCGTCCCTGCTCAGGGGCCACGGGCCGCCTACCGCTCGGAGACCCAGCATCCCTCCCTGTTCTCAGACAGCAGCACTCAGCGTCGTCTTGTTTCAGAGCCGAATCCCGGCCGAGCGGAGCCGGGTACGCCTCAAGCCGTGACCACCCTCAGCACGCAGACCCCCCCAACCCGCAGACAGAAGGCACGGAGGGGAGGGTCCCAGAGTGGGAGGGGTCCTAGAGCAACAAGCCCAGCGTAAGCAGCGAATAATCCACAGGAGCAATCAGTATGGGTCTCAGAGACCCTAGGAGCCCCTCCCAGCAGCAGGCACACGCACGCACACCCCCGCACACACACACCGCATGCACACCCCCGCACGCGCACGCATACCCCTGCACACGCACATCGCATGCACACCCCCGCACATGCACACACGCACACCCCCGCTCATGCACACCCCCAGACATGCACGCACACCCCCTCACATCCCTGCACATGCACACCGCACGCACACCCCTGCACACGCACACCCCCGCACATGCACACCCCCAGACACGCACACACACCCCCGGACACGCACACCACATGCACACCCCCGCACACGCACACCCCCGCACACACACACCACATGCACACCCCTGCACATGCACACCCCCGCACACGCACACCGCACACACACCCCCGCACATACACACACACCCCCGCACATACACACCGCATGCACACCCCCGCATGCACACGCATACCCCTGCACATGCACACACGCACAACCCCGCACACCCCAGACATGCAGGCAGACCCTCGGACACGCACACCACATGCACACCCCCTCACATGCACACCGCACACACACCCCTGCACACGCACACCGCACGCACACCCCGCACACGCACACCCCCGGCCACGCACACTGCATGCACACGCCCACACACGCACCCCCCCGCGCACACACACCGCATGCACACCCCCGCACACGCACACCGCATGCACACCCCGCACACGCACACCGCACGCACACCCCGCACACGCACACCGCACGCACACCCCGCACACGCACACCCCCGGCCACGCACACTGCATGCACACGCCCGCACACGCACCCCCCCGCGCACACACACCGCATGCACACCCCTGCACACGCACACCGCATGCACACCCCGCACACGCACATCTCTGCACATGCACACCGCACGCACACCCCTGCACACACACACTGCATGCACACGCACACACACGCACACCCCCGCACATGCACACCCCCAGACACGCATGCACACCCCTGGACACGCACACATGCACACCCCCTCACATCCCTGCACATGCACACCGCATGCACACCCTGCACACGCACACCCCCGCACACAGACGCATACCCCATGCACACCCCCGCACACGCACACCCCTGCACACACGCACGCCACAGCACACGCACACACCGCATGCACACACGCACACCCCCGCACACGCATGCACACCCCCGCACACGCACTGCATGCACACACGCAGGTCACTCAGCACATGCACACACACACAAACACCCGGACACGCACGCACACCGCATGCACACACGCACGCCACACTCAGCTCAGGCAGGTGCCCCCCTCCCCCCAGCCCTTCGGTACCTGGGCAGGTGTTTTGAGTGAGTGTCAGCTGCTGGAAGGTCTGGAACTCTGGCACCTGTAGCTCGTCCCGTTTTCGTCTTTCTTCTATCTGGAATGGCTGGAGGCTCGGAAAGTCTTTCCAGAGAAGAAAACGGAGAAGCTGATTTGTCGTGCAGCCAGTGGGCCATGGTCGGAGAGCAGCCCCGGGCTCCCGTGCAGGCGGCCATCCCCGGACACGGGTGCTGAACCTGGGCAGCACTGTGCGTGCTGGGTGTCTACGGGGTCTATGGGGTCCCGCACCCCACACAGAAGGTGCACACACGCAGCCTGCAGTCAGCCAGAGCACGCACACGCTTGTTCCGGGCGGGGACGGGGCCCAAACCCAGGGTCCCGAGGGGAAGGGGGAAGGGGCTGTAGGGCTGCCGCTCACACCGCACAGAGCCCACTGCCCTTCAGGAGCAGACATGTCCACGGCACGGAGGCTGCGGGCCTGAGCTCTGTGGCCGCAGCGCGGGGAGGGAGGAGGCGAGAAAACACCACCACCGAGCCCCAGGTCCGCCCTGTGCGACACAGACCCGTGGCCTGGGGCTGCAAGCTAGACCGTCCCAGCACCCGCTCCTCCTCCCCAGCCTGACTTCTGGGAGAATCCGCGCTCACTTGTGGACGGGCCACCTGGGCAGCAGAGCGACGGATTCCTGTCAGACTCTCTGGTCGAGGGGGGTGGCAACGTTAACCTCTCACATGCTCTCTGGCCAGAGTCCGGGAGGAGGCCAGACAGGGTGCAGGCTAACACCGGGCTGCAGGGAGGGGTGGAGGGACGGGCCTGCCTCTGCCCAGTGGCAACCTTCCACCCAGTTCTGGAACCATTACTCACCCAAGTACGAGACCTGGGTCACCTCCTTCCCTTGGAGGTCCTGCAACTCGGGGACCCGGGGCTCGTTCTCCTCTCCCTGGGAGAGATCCAGCTGGGCGGCTGGGTCGTCTGTTCACAAAGGGGAGGACACAAACCCATGAGCCGTGGGTGCCCACAGGAAACCTGGGCAGGTGGAGGGCGGGGACCCCACACAGGTCCAGAAGACAGAGCTGGAGGCTCGCACACCGGGGCACGGCCCCACGGGGGCCAGGCAGGCCTCCTGAGAGCAAGCAGGGAGGGGACAGGATCTCAGAGATGGAGGGGGGTTAGGGCGTCTCCTTCAGGACCATCAGGCGAACAGAAGCCAACGAGCACAGCCCACCAAACCACAGAACCAGGCGCATGGAAAGCTGTTACACTAGGGTTAGCAGGCAAAGCGGCCAGGTAGGCCTGATGTATGTGCAGGGTCGGGGGGGACAGCGAGGCAGATGCGGGCCCCACCCTTCTCTGGTTTCAGGACACAGGGGACGAAGCCTTACTTGGAGGCAGCGAGACGCCACAGTCCTCCCCGATGATGAACTCGCCATAGAAGCCAGTCTGCGCGGGGTCTAGAAGGGACCAGTCCTCTTGCGAGAAGCAGAAGATCATGTCCTTGAAGGGGGAGACCCGGTTCTGAAACCACAGGAGAACAGCAGGGACGCCTCAGTCCCGGACCGAGCCAGGCAGGCGTGCTCTGAGCACGCGGAGGGCCAGGGGCCCCGCAAGGCGAGCGAGCAGAAGGGCTGCCCGGAGCCCACGCGGCCTCCCTCGCTCCAGCCCGACATCCTCTCCCGCCGCTCGGGTCTGGCAGGTGGGGATCCCTCCACGGTCTGCTGCTGCCTGTCCCCGCGGGGAGGCGTCTCGCGGTCGGGGCCGCTGGTGACTGCTACAGGGGCCGCACGGGGTTACTACTGCGAGGACACGTTCGGAGGCTTTGAGTCATGGACCCCGGGAATGTGTCAAATTCCTTTTAATCTAGAATATGGGGCGCCGGGGCAGCTCAGTTGGTGAGGCGTCTGCCTTGGGCTCAGATCATGACCCTGGGGTCCTGGGATCGAGCCCCGCGTCGGGCTCCCTGCTCTCCCTCTGCCTCTCATGAATAAATGCATAAAAAGAAACCATGAAGGCATTTCCATATAACAACACGAAGTGGGGGTCTTGTGCTTCCTGTGAACAGCAATTTGACAAACAGACTGACGGTAACTGTAAATGCCGTTCAAAAATGATTCATTTTGTCTGTAATAAATAATCTGGGAGCTTGTGTCTGAGAGAACGTTTCGGAGAAGTGAAACGTGGAAGCAGCGCGGTCTCGCTGACACTTCTGTCCGGACAGAAGCACAGAAATGCTGATTTCCACGCAGTGACCGCGTATCCACCCGCCCAACCAGCCAAGGATTTCTGCAAAGGCTTCCAATCACAAAGCACTTAAAATTCCAATTTGCACTGACGAAATGGTTAGCCCTGTTCAAAACGAAATCTGGTGGGAAGAATGCAGCCTTTATGAACATCTGCTTTAAAAGAAGGAAAAAGAATTCCCGGTGTTCTCAACGCATGTCCTTGCATCCACCTCGATTTCTGGAAGGGCAGCGTCCGTACCACCCGGGTGCGTTGGGGGCCCGGGCTGGGAAGGAGGGTTTTCTCAGTCAATCCTGTCTGGCCCCTTTGGACTCCTACTCCCTCACGGGCACACCTGATGTACCCAGTGAGCACGTCTGTCAGGCGCATCCTCCCGCCCTCACTTAGGTGCTCGGGCTCCTTCCCCGGATCACCGCGGAACCACAGGCGTGTGCGCCAGCCCCGGGGGCCTGCCTACCATCGCTGCAGGGCGCGCGCCCCTGGCACCGACTGCTGGGCCTCGGACGGCCCCACGCAGCTAAGAGCGACTCGGCCACCACGTCCACAGAGCCACGGCGGGCAGACTGCACTGCAGGACCCCAGAAACCGCACCCGGGTCCGGTGACCTCATCCCGTGTTGTGTGAATTATGAAACAGTCTTCCCTTTCCAAGGAAAAAAAATCAGAGGCGCAGAGGTGCCGCGACGTGCAGGTAGGATGGGGGACCGCTGGGTTAACCTCCTAACGGGGCCCCCAGAAACCCTGCTGGACATAAGTTCGTCTTTACACACCCAGCATCAGGGATCCCAGTGAAATTCGACCGTCTTAGCTTCGCACTTACTGGGTTTTGTTTCCGGGGTTTTTTTTGGCCCAGGAGCATCTGAAGTGTCCCGCTCCCCTGCGTCCTCGTGCACGCTGAGCAGAAACGCACGTCTGTGGACCCCGGGGAAGACGTAAGGGGCACGCCCACCGTTCCTGGGCGGTTCAGAGACGCAGGCGGGAGCGCGCGGAGCACGCCGCGGGCGGAACCACTGGAACCACTGAGCTTCCCCGCACGCTTCTCCCCCCGGGGTCTGACGGCTCACCCTGAGCACGCACCGTCTCCCGCGCTGGCTCTGGTGCGAGACCGCTCCTCACCACGTACACCGTGGTACTGACAGCATCACAACACACGCACGTACGTGTACAACCAGGGGCACTCACAGCCTCGGTCTGGGGTCGGCGGGGTCTCGTCTGCGCCCCGCGCGCGCCCACTGCCTGCCTCGGGGGCCCCACCAGATCGGGGTCGGCGGGGGTCTCGTCTGCGCCCCGCGCGTGCCCACCCCACCCGCAGGCCTCGCAGAGGGAGGCCGTCCTGGGGCCCAGAGCTGCGTGGTCACTGCCTGCCTCGCAGGCCCCACCAGATCGGGGTCGGCGGGGGTCTCGTCTGCGCCCCGCGCGCGCCCACTGCCTGCCTCGGGGGCCCCACCAGATCGGGGTCGGCGGGGGTCTCGTCTGCGCCCCGCGTGCACCCACCCCACCCGCAGGCCTCGCAGAGGGAGGCCGCCCCGGGGCCGGAGCTGCGCGCCCACTGCCTGTCTCGGGGGCCCCACCAGATCGGAACGCACGCTCCGCAGCGCCGAAGCCCCGTCGGCTCGCCCTCCCGTTCAGCTGCGTTCCCGGCACGCGTCCAATCCACGGACTGCACTGAGGCGTCACTCGGAGCGCAGCGGACCCACCCATTCTTCCAGTGCTCCCCAACAGTCCGCGGCTACGGAGCGGCTCCGCAAGCTCTCGGGGCCTCCCCATCCGTGCGCAGGGGGCTCCAGGGACACACGCAGCGCCGCGCACCTGCTTGTCTCCCCACCGCGCGCCGCGGTCTGCAGCTCCAATGACCCGGTGCGCAGGGGTCCGACCGAGGACCACCCTGCTCTCTCCCCAAGAACCTGTCCTCCGGCTTACTAGCCAGTCTGCATCTGTCTGCTTTGAAGACTTCTCTGTTCTGTTGGCCTGTTTTTCTATTGTCTAATGGCTCCTTTTTCTGTTTTGTTTTTTAAACCAGCTCGTTTAAAATTGTGGATATACTTCACTCTTATTTTAAGTTTAAAATAAAAGCATATGTTATTTTAATTCTAAAATTAAAAAAATTCCGATCACTTTATGGTGGGAAAAAAAAATCGGTAAGGTTAGCGGTATAGGATGAACTGCAGGAAAACGCTGAACACATCAGCACAGAGATAATTCTGATAAGAGAACTTGGAAGTAAACATGCGGTTTTGGAACAAAACAGACCCACACAGAAGAAGCAGTCATGACACGGGATTGAACAGATAAAACTTAACCTACGTGAAAAAGCCAAATCCTAATCAGTGCGGAAAGGGAAAACATAATTTCTATCCAACATATTTGATAGAGTTGGTTGACTAGAAGTAAAACGACATCCTCATCCTTGATTAAATTAATATAAAAATATAAAACCCTTAGGGGCACCTGGCAGGCCCAGTCGGTGGACTCTCAGCCCATGTTGGGTGTACCCCTCACTTGAAACAAATTAAAAAACAAAACAAACCCCCCAAAAGCCTTAAAGTACCAAAAGGGGGAAAAATGGCTTTTGGGGAATAAAAATGAAGACCATACAGAGAAATAATGGGCAGACACCTGAAACTTAGAAACATGCACAGTAGTGATGCAGCCTGAACGCGATTAAGACACAGGTGCACCCGGAATGAACGGGAAGGGGGCTGAGAATCTACCGAGCGCCTGTCACACAATCAGAGAGCCTTTCATACCCGTGAAAGAGAGAGGGAAGCAAGTTCACCTTGACTCGTGCACGAACACACGGCTAGGAGACCGACATGTCCTCACCGACGCAGACTGGAAGGCAGGTGAGGTGTGCCAGCCATCTCTGACCATCCAGCAGGGGCTGGGAACTGCCGGCAGGAGCCCATGACCCTGGACTTATACCCTGAGAACCTCTGTCCCCTTGCTCTGCCCTGGGGGGAGGGGCTTTCACCGCCACTGGACTCTGCTCGCCTGGGCTGCCCTGCACCTGCCGGGGTTCCCCTCCATCCGCTGGGGTCGCCTCCACCTGCCGGGGTCACCTGCACTTGCCGGGGCTGCCCTCCACCCGCTGGGGTCACCTGCACCAGCCGGGGTCACCTCTGCTCGCCTGGGCTGCCCTGCACCAGCCAGGGTTCCCCTCCATCGGCTGGGGTCGCCTCCACCTGCTGGGGTCACCTGCACCTGCTGGGGCTTCCCTCCACCCGCCGGGGTCCCCCTCCACCCTCTGGGGTCACCCTGCGCCAGCTGGGGTCACCTCTGCTCGCCGGGGCTGCCCTCCACCCGCTGGGGTCACCTGCACCAGCCGGGGGTCACCTCTGCTCGCCGGGCCTGCCCTCCACCCACCGGGGTACCCCTCCACCCTCTGGGGTCACCCCGCACCAGCCGGGGTCACCTCTGCTCGCCTGGGCTGCCCTGCACCAGCCGGGGTTCCCCTCCATCTGCTGGGGTCACCTCCACCTGCCGGGGCTCCCCTCCACCCTCTGGGGTCACCCTGCGCCAGCCAGGGTCACCTCTGCTCGCTGGGCCTGCCCTCCACCCACCGGGGCCCCCCTCCACCCTCTGGGGTCACCCTGCAGCAGCCGGGGTCCCCCTCCTTCCAATCCACTCATCCCACATCTGATTGGGTCCCCCCACTTTCAGAGGACCTTGACCCCAGGACTCTCCCCGGATTTTCTGGGGGTCTCTGGGGACTCTCCCTGGTGCACTGATGACCTCCCATGCAGGTGACTCCTGGGTGAGGACCCGAAGCCCGGGAGGGAACCTGCCACATGGCCCCTGCCCACAAAGATGATGGGTGTCCCCTCCCGCACTTCGGGGGGACCCCTTCCTCCCTTCCTTCCCCCTGCAGCCCTGTGGCAGCCGAGCGTCCGTTCTCCCCGGATGACTGAAGGCCTCCAGCCAGGATGGCTCTGCGGGGTGGTCTGAAGGTGTGAGGGTGCACAGGTGGGCTGTGGGCACCTGGGGGGTCGGGACCCCTTTCCCCGGCTCTCCCGCTCAGCCCCCCGAGTCTCCGTTCCCGGTGTGCGGAGCAGGTGGCTCACGGCCGGCGGGGACCCTGTCCGGAGCGGGCTGATCCCAGCCGCCTGGCTCCATCCTCCCGTGCCCCTTGTCCCCTTGTCCTACCTTCATCCACCGCAAACCCGGTCCTTCACCTGCCTGGTTTTCAGGGAAACCCACCACAGCTCTCCCGACTCCCTCCCTTCTTAGCACCGCTGCCCTCAATACTCATACCCCTCATTCTTGGTTCCCTTTCTTTAA